AAAACAATAAAAAGAGGCCTCACAGGGGATATTACAGAAAGGTGTGGGAGATGGTGAACGCGACGCAGTGAATAAACCCAAAACAACACTGTCAGGGTGCGCTGAGGTGAATGCTACATTTTGAAGCAAGTCAAGAGGGCACCGGTTAAGGCTTTTAGACCATTTAAGGAAAGACCCCAGAAAGTGTTTTGCCCCCAAAATATACAGTCGATTCACTTTACAGTGTATCCCGTGAAGCGCTTTGAGACGTCTCGAAGACGTGATAAGGCGCTGTATCAAATGCGAGGATTACTATTATTATTATTATTATTATTTCCTAACACAGAGGACACTCAATCACAGGTGGAGCAGTTCACCAGACTGGCAGATACAGGCAAGGATGTTGGACTCATCGAAGAGAAATAAAACAGCTTGACTCTGCGATGGGAAGCCGATAGGGCGGGTATTTTAGAAAGATAAACTCAAATGGGCTAAAGGGCTTTTTTTTTTCATCTATACCTTTCACCTGCAGAATACACACTTCACAGTAAATGCTCGGAAGGGCTTTGAAACGTTCTCCCGACATGAGACGAAAGAAAAATGCGGTTGGCAGAACAGGATCACACGGAGAAACATTATTTTTTGGGGGGCGGGGGGGGGGGGGGGGCGTCAGCAGGATGTCTGATACACGCGGAAACCCATTCTTTGAAGTATAAAAAACACAGCCTCGAGAGTTCCACATACGTGTGCAACCTGCGCATGGAAATTCCCATGTTTGGAACGGACTGCGCGCTTTCTCCCCTGATGGATGGCTCCCGGCTTACCTGATCCCGGAGAGTACCAGGCGCAGGTTGGCGAGATATATCTCAGGATTCTTATCCGTGCATTGGGAGGACACGCCCGCATTCGAGTGAATCTGGTGGATTTATCCATTTTTTTTTTAAAAAAAAGAAGGCAAAATCCTTCTGCAGATACACCGGACAATTTCCCAGCTGTCGCTCCTGTTTGATTCTGTTCTACCAGTACGGAGCCAGACACGTGGATCTCAGTGGTTCAAAGGGGCAAGAATACTGAAGAGGTTAAGTGTTCAATCTGATCGCACCCCTTTGTTAATGGGAGCAAAAATATGTATATACATACCTATGTGGAATGGGACTCTAAGCCTGGTTAGAAGCATAGAAATTAACAGCACATTAAGGAATCCATTCGGCTCATCGAGTCTGCTCCAGCTCTTAGAGCAAAGTACACTGCCAGTCTCACTGCTCCCGACTTATCTTAACTCCATACCCTTTGGATGCACTGCTTTGAACGCTCTTAAGCGCGGTGATGGATTTCTGTACGTATCAGATCCCCGACTGGCCAAACAAAAAATAGCAAAAAATGGAGCAAAAAATGGCATGCTTTTTTAACAGGAGTACAACAGTGGGACTCCCTTGCTGGTGAATTATTCAGTGCCGCCTATAATATTCCCGCAGTCTCAGAAAACTGCCGTGGAAAACATTTACCAAAACAGCCGATTGAGCTTGTTAAGGTTTTTCTTAACGGCCAGTAGGGAGGATATTTTGCAAAGTTGTGCAACTGAGAAGATGGGTTGAAATGTGGCTATTTAACCCTGGGTCAAATATGGAGTGCCGTCATAGTGCTGAAAAAGCAGTAAGTTGTTCGCAGCTGGTCCTGAACGGAATAACTCCGAGGGGCTGGGCAGCTTTGTGCGTAAAGTGGCACGGTTAGAGAGCTGCTGTGAGCACGTGCCCTTAATCTTACTTGAAATATCCATGCACGATTCATGTCCTCCGTTGTATGCACACAATACGCCTGCGATTTTGCAATTACCATGAAAATAAAACTCCTTTTGTGACCAGTTGTGTCACGGTATTCAACGAGCACAAAGGAACATGAAAGACATGTCCTTGCAGCGTTTTAATTTTGAGCATTTGTATGAACACACGCAGCGGAGCCTTGTTTTGCAATTTGTCTGTCGGCTCCGTAAATTCCCAACCAGAATTACGACTGCTCGGTGCTTCCGCAATCAATCTGCACGCTGGCGTCTCGTGTGTCAACAGGCCCGACTTCTAAGGTCATCGGGTCAGGACGGGCACTGGTAATAATCCTAGCGATAATCCTTCCGTTCGATATCGCTCCTTTCACATCAGGAGGGCCACTCAAAGCCACGTGCAGGATTTAATGCAAAGCGGAATGATTATGCCCATTTTGTAGCCGCTTTGCGCACAGCAATGTCCAACACGGACAACCACAAAGTGAATGATGATTAGTGTTAAAACATCCTTTGTCTCTCTCCTGTATTCCTGCAGATTGACTTCAAGAAGATACTGCGCTCGACGCTGTCCATTTAGGTCTTCGGCGCGTGTGGTTGAAAATGAAAGCACTGCGTCTGCGCTCCCGAGTTTCCTTTCGGCAGGAAAATGTACCGGTTCATCTATCGACATATTCATTTGGGAAAACCGCAGCCAACACTGCTGACAGTCTGTCCAGATATTCGACGGGTTGGGGTGGGGTTGGGGGGGGTGGGGTGGTGAGCAAGAATCGTTTCTGCCTGGCACTCTCACCTCTGAGTCAGAAGGTTGGACAAGGTTGACACTCCGATTGCAATGTCGGAGGCGAGGTCCGATCTGGCTCAGATGTTGAGCTGAGGTCCCACCTGCCCGTTCAGGTGGACGACAAAAAATCTCATGGCACTGTTTGGAAAGAGACGGGAGTTTCTCCCGGTTTCCCCACCGGACAATCCCCGTACCGTAAATATTGGTCATTTGCTTCATGGCTATTGTGGGACATCGCTGTGCCGAAATGACTTGTGTGTGTTGCCTACGAAAATACACAGTTTACGGTAAATCCTGCAAAGCCATTTGACTCCCTCCCCCAATAGAAAAGGCGAGGCATCATTAAAAATATTATTATTAGTAACGGCTGGAATTTAGTGTTTGTACGTCGTGATACACTGCACCTCCAATATTCAGCTCTGAATTCCAGGGGTTAAAATAATAATTTTATTATTATTTGATACGGCGGCCTTAACCGGGCCTTCGAGTCGTCTCGAAGCTCTTCACGGAATATACCGTCGAGGGAACTGACTGCGTATTTTGTGGCCAATTGCGCACAGCGGCGTCCATCCAAACAGTCGCGGATCGCAAACGTGGCATCGGCAAATAGCAAAGCCAAGTCGCAGCTGCTGCGGGAACTCTACCCCCACAGCGTAAGTTCAGAACGTTGCGATAATAATGTTCCTGTTTTCGATCACTTGGTCTCTTGCCGTTCGATGGGCCGAGCAGAGCAGTCGGTGTTTTTTTTGTTTAAAGCGGTATCAAGCCAAGGGGAGGGGGGCTGACGTCGAAAGATTATTACTTCAATAATAATACTACTAATAATAATGATGCCTGCGATGGCAGAGATTAGTTCCCTGATTTTTTTACGCTCCCACCACCAGTTTCCTTTATATTTTCATCACCGCTCATCCACTCAGCATCTTCGAACCAACAGGGAGAAACAGGCTTCATCCTGATTGCAATCAATCCTAGTCTGTGACTGGCGGACATCAGCACGAGAGGAACAACGTCAATATCTCTCCCCTTTTAGTGGATTTTACCTATTGCAAAAAATATTCCAGCAGAGCAGTAAAACACTGACTGGTTTTATTAAATATTATAATAATACTTCATTTGACGCATCACCTTTTCATCTCAAAATGCCTCAAAGCAGTTCGCACGAACCACTTTTTTTTTTCTGGAAGTGCAGTGAATTTTATGTGATAATAAAATAATAATCCTCGGATGTGAGGTAGCGCCTTTCGCGTCGGGAGGACATCTCAAAGCGCTTCACAAGATTTACTCTGGAGCATAGTGACTCTATTTTCCAGGTAGGCGAACATCGGTGAAATATAATCAAACAGTGACTGATCTGCACCAGCCCAATTAATTTGGATAAGGGGGAGAATTATGGCCGGGAAAACTCCCCACTCTTCACAATAGTGCCTCGGGATACTGAACACCCACATGAATCACTGGATTAGACAGGCAAGACCTTGGTTTTATCATCTGACTAATAGGATTCATTGCCAGACAACTTTGCAACTCACAAGGACAAACTCCGGATTGTAAACAAGCATAAAAATGTTGGCGTTAGAAAATAAGAAATTCAGGCAAACTAATGTTTGGTCCGAGCAATTTCAATCCTTCTCCAGGCCGTACAAGCCTACTCTACCATGGCCTTCCTTGCAGCCACACAAACTCTCGAAGGAAACTTCTGCGCAAGTACTCCCAGATCTTCAAGCAAACCTTCCGAGATATTCACTGATTCACACAATTTCTCAGTTGAACCCTGGTATCTTTTAATCCGCAGACAACCACGCCCCCTCCCCTCCCCCCCTATTTGGTCTTGAAGACCAAATAAACAGCTTTTCCAGTGAAGGTGGAAATTGCCTTTTGCTTTCTTTGGCTCTCTCCCAATCATTGGTACTGCATAACAAGCACCAAAGTAGACACCAAAACTCTCTCGTCTTGAATATCGCTCACAAGCTGATGATACCATTCAAGAAACAAACTGTCATTCAATTGCTAGAATTCTGTTCCGCGTATTCATAACTTCGTGTATCATATTCATATGTGTGTGTGTTTATCTGCGCGTGTGGATTTACGCGTATGTGGGTGTGAGTATATGTATGTATTTGTATGTACGTGCTTAGGTGTGTGTGCGTGTGGGTGTATGCGGGTTGTTGAGTCCTGGAGATCTCTTAAGACATCACTAATACAATTAAACACGAGACACCGGACTCTGGCGAGGTGAGTTGCAGAATCCCATGCGTTCTCTTTTGCAATGAAACCCATTAACCTCCCTCCTCCCCACCACTCGCTGTCGCCCGATGCCACCCGCAAGCAAGCCCTCAGTTACAGTCGCCTTCCGCCACTGAGATCAAAACATTCGCGCGTTTCCCCGTCGCTCTGGTCAATTTTCGGATCGAATGGAGGCAAAGACGAGAAGCTCAGCGGTTGGAAGGTTTCCCTGCTTACCTCTCTCACAAGATCGGCCAAGGAACCCCGTTCCCGAACAGTCGCACACGTATCTATTCCAGCCTTCCCTGCAAATGCCATTGTTTCGACACGGATTACTAAGGCACTGCTTCGGAGGCTCCTTGGCGCACGAAGATTTGACTCCTGCTGCATTCTGGATTTCTGCCATTTTCCTTATGTCCTTGCTTTGGCCGTCGATAAACAAGTCTCTGATACATCCGACGTATCCATAGTTGAGAAGAGCCGTCCACACTTCTGTTGGGAAAATAAGAGCTGCTTTGTTCTCGGGCAGTCCGCCCAGATACAAGTCATCGTCCAAATCGAGGATTTCGCTCTCTCCGTGGGCCATGTATGGGGAGCGCTTACTGTTGATGGCTATAATGCCTGAAGAGGGAAAGAAAAAGGAAAGCGTGAGTGTTGGGCATCGATCCACGACGGTTGTGCCAAAACCGGCAAGAAGTGAACGACAAATGTTATCTGGGTTAGACAGCGCACACCCACAGCACCGGATTGGAGTATCAGCTTCTTGACGTGGGGCTTTGAACCCACGAACTTCTGAGGCAGAGGCGAGGGTAGCTGCCAACTGTGCCGGGCTGACACCTGAACCTTTTGGACTTGACACCAACTTGCGATCCACGACTGGCCAGCCACGATAGTTCACAGGGCTGGAAGTCACGCGCCATCAAGTTGCCCACGAAGTTGCACCATTAAGTTAATTCACGCAACGAACCTGGGTTCGCGAACCACACAAATTAGACTCTTTAACATTCAACAGCTGCAAACAAAGCAGGATGTTACCTACAGATGTGTTCAATTGTCTCAGATGACTGCCCAAGGCCTTTCCTGGCATTCCAGCACGAGACAATTCCCATGTTATTTACGGTCACCGGTGCAAGACTACTCAGCACCAGCCAACTCTGGTTTACATTACCAAAGTCACAACTCAAGGCATATATGTCAGCATTCCAATTACCGGCAACATGGTTCATATCCCGATGTCTCAGGGTTCCTAGCGTGCAGTTTACATCTTGTCGCCCTGGTCAATAACCTCGCTTTGACTCTTGATTTTCTTCACGACCAAACATTTCGCCCGCAAATACACAGTCAATTCACTTTACACTCTATTCCGCGAAGCGCTTTGAGACGTCTAGAAGACGTGATAAGACGCTAAACCAAATGCAAGGATTATTATTATTATTATTAAACAGACAAGACTGACGTGAATGTCCATCAGACAAAAATATTAGGAATCTTTTGAGCCCTTTAATGCATAGAAATACGCCTATTATTGTTGTCTGAAATGCATAAGCATTATTTCTTTACATAGGACAATAGCTTATCAGCTCGGCTTATATGATAATATAACAATAATCTTCGCATTTGATACAGCGCCTCGTCACGTCTTCGAGACGTCTTCGATACATCTCAAAACGCTTCACAGAATATACGGTAATACGGTAATATACGAGTGAATTGGCTGTAATATTTTGTGGGTGAATATGGACTAGTATCTCGGATCTGGTCAGTTGCGAGCATTCTTTGCCAGGATGAGGTGCATCTGTGTTTACCCTCAGTGGTGCGCAAAAAAAATGTTATGTATTGCAGTGGCGTAGTGCTCCATGAAGTGTTAAATCATAGTGTTGTAGGAAGCAGCTTTGGCTCTGCAATCACCTCGCAGCGAGGCCCTGGAACTCAGCAGTAAGATTCGGAGAAAAGTCAAGCAGAGTAATCGTGTGGGAGGGGAAAATTGGGAAGTAGGAGACACTGTCAACTCACACAGATCTTTTGTGGGCAATTACGAAACCGGTTGAAGCCGAAAGAGTGTCAGTCAAGAGTGTCCTGGGAGGACCTAGAGTGGAGATGAAATGAAAGGGGGAAAACTTGTTGATTGGCGCGGGTGATAATCATCATATCACTGGTAATAATAATAATAATCCTTGCGTGTGATACAGTGCCTCATCACATCGCCGAGACCTCTCAAAGTCCTTCACGGAGTACACTGTAAAGTGAATTGACTGTGTATTTTGTGGGCGAAGGGCGGCAGTCGATTGCGCACAGCAGCGTCCCCGCAAACGGTGACGGATTGAGTGACCACATTATTATTTTTTTTGAAAGGGATTACCTATACTGACAGTAAATAATTGGTAAATCATCGTATCATTGGTGGGGTCCATTAGGCTGGTCAATAACGACACATTAGTTGAGTATACTGTGCCTCTCTCTCTCTCTCTCTTTCCCTCTGTGTGTCTCTCCCCTCCATCCCGACTCTATCACAGTGTGTGTACCTGATGCTGACTGACATTGCTCAGCGAAGTTGCTGGCACTGAGGATTGTAGCATGAGAAGTGCCACGAAGCAGCTCACAACTGATTCTTTTGTTGAGTCGAACCAGAATCGTGTCAAGTAGCATTGCAGTGCCGCTATTTGTGGCCAATCCAAAATTCGGTCTTGCTTGGGAGTCAATCTTCTGCTCTTCATAAAAAGACTTGGGCGATAAGCAGGACAACACAGTGGATTTGACGGGCAGCTGAACCACTTTCAGTTGGCCGTATTTTTTTATCTGTGATTAGAGTATTCACCGATTTAGCATTAGTTTTCATCTTGCAGTGGAAAGTGTGCAAATGATCTGAACGCTGAGGTTGGAAAGTGACAGTGTGGTCTTGTTACCGTGCCCGAAACCTCAAAGAAACAGGTGGCCCAAACGCGTGCAGGACCTGGAAAGTGCGCGCCGCGGTCATCAGGGGATGTGCCTATTAGCCCTCTGGAAAGCTTTATTTCTTTTAAAATAAACAGTAAATGTTCTCAGTGTTGCGTGGCTTCAGCCAAGGGACTTAACAGGGGATTTAATCCAACCTGTTAGACATAATCGTTAAGTTGAAAATGATTATTAGTGTTATCATTAACTATCAGGCAGTTCTAAAACATCCCATGGCACTGTTCGGAAAAATAGCGTTGAGTTTCTCTTGCCAACAATCTCACAAATAGTCACTCGTTCCGTCACTGTTTTGTGGGACTTTGTTGTGCGCAAATTGGCTATTGCGCTTGGGAATATATTTAGCGACGTGCCAATTGCCATTTGGATGCAATTGTGACTACAACAGTCTACCTCCCTCAGAATACCACGCTCTTTACTCTTGGTGTAACACTTATTCAGGGTGAACAAACTGCCTGAACCCTACAGCTGTTCCATGTTTCCTGATTACAAATTTGGCAACAATATACGTCCGCTCAGCCAAACAGTCCTTAAGTCACTGGTAAAGAGCCTCTTTAGTCAAATTCGCAGTCTCAGCAATTTTCTGAGCTACTGCGGCGCTTACTGGAAATAATGAAAATTTAATGCAGAAAAGAAGCTTCACCATCCTCTGTATTTTATAAAAAAAGTATATCCTTGTACGCATTTATGTCGGGGCATGAACAGTATTTGCTGTCAATTTTGCATCTTCCCATGTCTGATATTCTCGCGCGCTCACATCCCCTTAGAGTGATCACGTGACGCTGGTTTTCGTTGGACGCAATCTCCACGTCTACTTTCGCAGCACTCTGACAGCAGTTTTATTTCTGAAATTAAACTACAAACATACGCATCTTTTTTTGTGCTTGCCGTAACAACGAGAGGTTGTCAAGAGATCGTGACTTTGCTAACGCCAGCCCAGAACCAACTCAACACTGTTCTGCACAACAACAACAACTTGCATTTGTATAGTGTCCTTCACGTAGGATGATATGTAAGGGAGGTGAGGAAGGGTGGAGGTTGTTGATGACCACAGGCGCGGCGAAAAGGTAGGTTTTTGTTTTACAGAGCGATTGAAAGACCGATAGAGAATGGAGCCGAGATGGAGGGGGTAGAAGAGAGTGGGAGGTTCAAAGGGTGAGAGGGGTATCTATTGAGGCTTGGTTGCTGATCATGGGGTGGAGAATATGCAGCAGGTCCAGCTCTGTTGAGTGGAGCGGTGAGCAGAAGAGTGGGGTAGAAGATGGCGATGGACCTTGAGATCAACCCGTAGAGAGACAGGCAAGCACATGGGTGAGAGGCCTACGGAGTTTAGAGCGGGTGAGGAATTGGACGGCAGAGTTTTGCATGAACTGAAGCTTATCGACGCGTGGAAATCGGGATGTTGTCGAGGAGTGTGTTGGAGAAGTCAGGTGGCAAGAGACACATATTTGAGATGCACTTCTACTTGTGCATTAGTTTACACTTTCGTAACTCACGTGCCATCCCGCCATCCCATACACTTAACTTGAAATTCAGCCCTTTTCAATCTGTAAGTTTTAAGTTCGTAGAGTGCAGCTCAGCTGAAATGACAAGTGGGTGAGCTGAGAATGAACATTTCCAGCCGTCTGCGCTGAATCCAGTGACGTCACCAATACTGGAAGTTCAGGTACTGCTCAGGTACTTGTGCTTTGTGCTTCAAGGATGAGGCTGGTGCGAATGTTTACTCTTACAGAATAATTATCCTTGAACGTTCTCCACTGCATGCCCGTTCATTTTGGGACTCTTAATTTTTTTTGTGCGCGTGTGAGTGAATACACAACTAAAATTTGATCAACACTGGGTTTGGTTCGGCCTGAAGGCTCGTGGACTCCAGAACATAACCCTAGAATATATTCCAGGGTTGTCATGGAATATGATACTTACTGAAGACATGAAGGCAGAAAGACTAGTCTTAGGTGTGCGGTATAACAATAGTCATAATAATCCTGACGTTTGAAATAAGAGCTTTTCACATTTGGAGGACGTCTTCAAGTTTTACTGTGAACACAGTTTGCTTGCAGCAATAAACCCCCGAAGGACTATTTTTTTTATTTGGCCAGGACACCGTGAGAATCTCCCTTCTCTTTTTGAGTCGGGCTGTAGGATGTTTAACAGTTACCTGGTTAGGGAGATGGGACCTTGACTGAAAATCTCATCGAAAAGATAACACCACTGACAAGGCAGCTCGCCCCAAGCCTACAAATGCACATCAAAATCCAGTGAGACAACGTGACGAGGTCAACATCAAATGCGAGGATTATTGCCGTTCAGATTGTTTTCACGGGAACACTGCCTCCCAAATCGAGGCTGAGTTCGACCGTGTTCCAAAATTCTGCCCAACCACCCATTTTAAGACGAATCGGTCCTGAGTTCGAAGAGGAGTTGACATTTTCGGACTCGCGCAGAGAATCGGGACTCTAATTTACACCACAGGAGGGCAGCTCCCCAATCACCTAACGTTCCTCATCCGAACTCCCGGATTACAGAGCTCTGCAACCGAATAGCACCGGCAGAAGCATCACTTGAACCGGACAAACACATCAAACTGTGCAGCAGCCAGAGGCACCGGCTGTCAAACCGGGCGCCACAATTGGCTGCCGCCAAATAGAACGGCCGTTTTCAGCGCGGCTGCCCACCGATAATGGGACTTGTCCATATAAGATGTTAATTGAAGCTCTGCTGGCCTTGTGTTTGACTTGAGACAGCGACAATTTCCTTTGTCACCTTCTCCGAGCTCGTCAACACTCGCGGAGAACAAGCCCTGAGTAATTGCTCGGTTCTGCATGAGTGTTGAAGAATTCTATCAAGCTCAAGTACCTGTGAAAGAAATCTATGTAAAGTCTGAGCGTACATGGATTATCTGGCAACATCGCTTGTGGCCTGGGGGAGTTGACTTTGGCCTGCTTTATTTATTGTGAACAGCTTTTAAAGACTTGAGCTTCACGTACATTTTTTGATGTCCTGTATTCAGTAAATACCGTGATTACTTTTATCCCCAAGACCGGAGTCCACTTTCTAACACTTCAAAGGAAAACAAGATGGATCAAAGCGCTTCGTATGATTTGGCTCTGAAGCATTGTGACTTTTGTAACGGATGACAATCGAACAGGCGGGAGACTAGCATTGTAATAATAAACAATTCATATAATAAAATAACATCAAGGACTGTAGCTGCTATTGTAGGACAATTGCCTTTCCTGAACCTCTTACTATCCGATAACAAAACAACAAGATTGCATTTATAGAGCGCCTTTCACGTCGGGAGGATGTCCCAAGGTGCTGGATAGTTGGGTCGGGACCCGAGCATTGGGGGGAAAATGGTCAGGGTGAGGGGAGGGAAGGGAGGGAGCGAGGAGGGGGTAGAGAGTCGAGAGGGGAGCTGAAGGCTGAAGGTCAAAGAGAAAGGTCTTGAGACCGGCCTTGAAGGAGAAAAGGAAGGAGGCGGCGAAGGCACTGGGTGATGGAGATCCAGAGCCTCGGGGCTGAGAGGCTGACGGCCCGGCAACCGATGGTAGGGCGGTTAGGATGGGGGATGTGGAGCAGACCGGAGCCAGAGGAACGGAGGGTACGTGTAGGTACACAGGGGGAATAGTAGGTCGGAGAGGTAGGAGGGTGCAAGGCCTTGAATAACTATTAAACTGCACTGTAACCTCCATTCATGTTGGACGTACAGATATCCAAGCAGGTCAGATCATTTTCCCAATTCAAATGACGTCGGCTGAATGAAACAACGCGATTTTAAGTCTAAAGAGGAATTTTACCATCATTGCGTCTGTAAGAGAAATCAGTTACAATATGAAAACTCTGGAAATGTTCGCCGGTCTGATCAGCATGACAAAGATAAGTCAATGTTTCTTTTTTTTGTGTGTGGCTCCTCATCTGAACGCCAGGCAGGTCCTGATAAAGGGCCAGAGCAGAAACGTTAATTATCTTCCTCTCTTTGATGTTGCCAGGATTCATGGGCATTCTTATGCGCTCGTTGACAAACGTATCTTGATTGAAATTTGACAGGAAGTCTCTCTCTCTTTCTTCACCGTCTCTCTCAACACCCCTCTCCCTTCTGCTCAGTTCTCAAGCCAATCTGCACCATGTCGGAGATGCTAAGTATCTTCTCATGGGTGAGATAGAATTGTTTTCAGGTGGCGCTGATCCACCGCCAAGAAGTTCCAAAACTTTGGCCAGGAGGGCCAGGTTTAAGATGGGTCTGAAGTTGGCAAAGTTGGAGGGATCGAGTTGTTTTTTTTAAGGAGAGGAGTGATGGCAGTGGTTTCGAAGGGGAGTTGGACACAGCCTGAGGAGAGATTGTGTCAGCCAGCAGTGGGCAGAGAGAGGAGGGGGAGTCGGGTGACCAGGAGCTGGATGGGAAGGTGGGGAGGGGGTGTGTGGTCGAGGCAGCAGGTGGTGGGATTGATCCGGGTGATGGGTGGGTGAAAGGGAGGAGGGAGAGATGGGGGCAAAGGAGCGTAGGGTGGGAGCCGTGGTGAAGGAGGTGGTGGTGGGGTAGGGGGGTGGGAACTTCTCCGGCTCTTTAATTGGATCCCATCTGCTCTACTTGTTGTTTTTTGCTCTTTATCCTCCTTTAATATTAATGACGGGAACCTGGAGGGAGGTGCATGTGTTTTTTTCACAAAAAAAAGGCAGATAACTATTTGCAAATACTAACGATATCATACTGGAAAAAACATTACATCTCTCAAATGTGACTGACCAGTCAGAGATTACCGCACTTCAACTCAAAAGGCAAAAGATTAGAACTCAATCAGAAAGCCAAGGATTATTTTGAGCCCCTCTCTGAACAACTCATTCTGATTGGAAAGGTGACTGTCCTGGTGTGCGCTGAGTTAGAACCTGATCACAAACTGGGAAAAGGGCCCTACCTGGTCGTGTGGCCAACAGATAGTCATATTGGCCAGGTTTGTGTAAACTCTTGCATTTGAGTCAGTAAAGACGTGGGTTTAAACCTGACGTTGAGACTTTCAGCTCAGGGTCTGGGCGGAGACGCCAGTGCAGTGCGAGGGGTTGGTCACTGTGGTGCAGGTGATGCCATCTTTCCAGTGATACGTGAAACATCTGCCTCCGTACGAAAGAATCCACTGCACTGCTTGAAAAGAGTAGGGGGAGGGTGGTTTCTCCCGGTGTCCGGGCCGACAATGCCCCGGAAAAAAATCAGCTATTCACTTCACTACCGTTTGCGGTACATTGCTGGGCACAAATCGGTTGCCCCATTCGCCTACAGATACACAGACACGACACTGTTCAGTATTTCCCGCCAACCGCTTCGCAATGTCTCGATGACATAATAAGGCGATAAATATATCAAATTTAGGGATTAAAGTCTAATCTCAGGATTTTTTGCGGAAGAGAAGGGGTACAATTACCCAGAGGACCTCCTAAGCTCCTACCAACATGTCTCCGCTCCCTCCGCTCAGCGGGCTCCGGCCTGCTTCACGTTGCCCCCGCCTCGCCCGCCCGCCCCAACATTGGCGGTCGGGCTTTCAGCCTCTCTGCGCCCACCCTCTGGAACTTCATCCCACAGTCCCTCCGCCTCGCTCCCTCCCTCGCCTCCTTCAAGACCAGTCTCAAGACCCTCATCTTCGACCGTGCCTTCGGTCACCTTCCTACCCCTCTCTGAACCTCCACCCCTCCTGAACCTGACCACCAGCTCAGGCGCGGATCCCTGACTGTCCAACGCTTTGGGACGTCCTCCTGACTTGAAAGGTGCTGCGCAAACGTAACGTGTCTCTGTTGTTTCTCTCGCGATGCCTGCTGAAAAAAACACGCAAGGAAGGGATCCAGCCTGCCTAAGGGTGGCAGCCAACGAAGGTCTCAGCTCACACGGGAAGATCGGTCCCTTGGCCGAAGAGCAGCTGACGTGCCTGGGAGCCGCACGCCGGTCACCGGAGGAGGAGGAGGAGGAGGACAGGAGACGAGCGGGTGGGGAGAAAGTAATGGAAAGGGACTTCTCAAGGAAAAATCTCACCTGATCGTCCGTCCCTCTGGAAGTCCACGTGATACCAGTCGCCGTCGTTCACTTTCCTTTGAGTGGCTTTGGTTTTGATGGCGCCCGATCCCATGTCCAGCAGGAGGTACAAGTGCCCGTCCACCATTTCGATGGCAAAAAAGTCCACCTTGACGATCCGGGGGTTCTTGGCGTCCTTTTGGTGGCGCGGTTTCCCGTGACTGAACAGGATCAGCCCGTTGGGCTCGGTGGTTCGAAAATCGAACGAGATGGAGCCTGTCTTCTTGGCGTTCCACTTCGGCAGAGCCACGTATGACTCCGGGGTTTCGAACGTGATGGGATCCAAGGTGGCCACGTTCTCGCACTTGAACGCCACCATCCCGTGGATCTTCATCTTGCGGTCGCCCTGCTTGGCGAGCCGCGACAGCTCCAGACGGACGTCGTTGTTCTTGTACACCACCTGCGAGGGGAGGGAAGGCAAAAGGGAGGGAGGATTGACAAGTGTTTTGCTTGGCTGGCTTGCGTTAGGGTACGATCTCGTACCTGGTGGGGGGGGGAAACACGGTACAATCCCTGACGCGGGGAATGCGAGATCATCTCTCACACGTACGCGTACCACGCGCACACGCGTGTGTGGTATGTTCTCACCCGCACGGGGTGGGTTTGTGTCATTTCACACACAAGGGAGTACGACGTAATCTCACACAACAGCAACGGCTTGCATTTACACAGCGCCCTTCACGCAGGGTAGAGCTTCACAGTGGCGGAGCCTCCCGAGCCAAGGGGAGAGGGAGGGGGGGGGTGGGGGCGGGAGGTGACCGTAAGCACGATCGTAAAGTAAGGTCTTTAAGAGGGAATTGAAGGCTGGGAAGAAGGGAGGGAGAGGGCGAGGCGGAGGGATCGAGGGAGAGAGTTCCAGAGTTTTGGGGGTCGCAGTGGCTGAAGGCACGGCCAACGATGGTGGCGCGGGACAAACAGGATGCCAGAGCCAGCCAAGCGGGTGGTGGAGCCCGGGGGGGGGGGGGGTAAGTAGGTCGGATAAATAAGGAGGTGCGAGGGATTGAAGTGATTTGAAAACGAGAGGATCTTGAAATCGATCCGTTTGATGATTGGGGCGTGGGGGTGATGGGGGTGCGAAGCTTTGTGTGTGCGAGTATTCGGGCGGCGGAGTTTCGAATCAATCGGATTTAGCGTCTGGTGGAGCTGAGGAGACCAACGAGGAGGGTGTTGGAAGAGTCCCAGCCGGGAAGTGACGAAGGGGGTGGAACGAGGTTTTCAGCCGTGTTGGCTGTGAGGTGAGGTAACGGACGGAGGTGGGCAACGTGGTGAGGGCGGAAAAAAGTCAGGGATCGGATGCGGGGTGGAAAGGAAAGCCGGGGATCAAACCTGATGCCTAAATTGCGCACGGGTTCGGAGAGTCTGAGGGAGAGCTCGGGGAGTTTTGAGCGGTTCAGACCCGCAAGGGGTAAAAAAGACACCGACGGGAGCCAAAGTCAGTGGACTGGGAGTCGCAGCTGGAGGAGGAGTAGATTTGTGCGTCACCCGGATGACAACGCCCAGAGGGGGAGCGTGTAGATGAGGAAGAGAAGGGGTGGTGGAGGGTCAAGGATGGAGCCTTGGGGTACCTCGCAGGTGACCGGGTGGCTGGGGAACGGGAGGAGGAAAACCATCTGCCGAAATGAAGCAGTTGGTTAAGCAGGGCTCGAGCCGTGCGAGTGCGTGTCCCACTAAAGTGGACGAGGGAGGGGAGGCGGTGGAGGAGGATGGCGCGGTCGACTGCGTCCCGAACGCAGTGGAGAGGTCCAGGAGGACGAGGAGGCAGAGGGAGCTCCTGGTCATGGAGAGAGAGAGAGAGAGAGACAGAGGACAATCGTGGGGAGTAACGCTGCAATCCCACGCACGTACTTGCGGCGCACTGTCTCAATGCCTCGCTAGCGCTGGGGAAGCCAAACTGGCTCGAGTGAACAAATCATAAGGCATTAGAAGCAAGCGTCGAATGGGGAACAAGCGGGGAAAACAGGAAGGAGTCTCCGTCACGAAAAATAAATAGAACACAATACCGAATCTGAATTACAAAGCGTTGCAAACAATTCCCACGTTTGCCCTTTGTTACCGCCAGGTTCGAGACTGCGGAATACTGTTTGCCGTTCAATGGAGTGGCAAAGCGGAATCATTTTTTTTTTTTTTTGGAAAGCAACAAATTGCCGTCGGAGTAATGGTAATGGCAGGTACATGGCAATGAGATTTCTCCTGAAAGATTTCTCCGGTGGCAGGACTGCTATAAATACCTCCACAGCAAAATAGTTTTTGTGAGCTTCAAACTGGATTAGAATGGGAAGCTATCAAATAAATCAAGGCTGCACAGTGTTGGCTGTAAACTCCTCCAGCCTTGCCATGAATTCAACCTATTTTACATGGACATCTAAAGGATAAATTACAGAACTCGCAGGTCCGCCAACACTAATCTGTCAAGTGATGTCAAGCCACGTAATTAACAAATGCAACGGGCAAGTGGTTTACGCACACAGATGTCACAGATGTCAGGAGTTGTGTCCAATAAATCATCATTCAAAAGTCACTCCTTCTTCACGGCAACAGCTTGTACCCGGGCTACAAATGCAATGCGATACAAGGTGGGAGGAAGGAACAAGGCGAAAGGCAGAATGGGAAACAAGAGAAACAAGGGAAGGCAGAGTGGGAGAGAGGGAATGGGAGAGAGAAACTAGGAGAGAGAGAGAGAGAGAGAGAGAGAGAGAGAGACAGACCGAGGGAAACAGAGGAACGAAACGAGACCGAATGGGACTGAGGAACTAGGAGACAGAACGGATGGGAGAGAGAGAGAGAGGAACAAGGACAGAGTCGAAAAGCGACCGAAATAACAGGAGAGTTAGATCTCAGACCGAGGTCTTCCGGTACGTCAGCCACACGTGACAAATCGGGCATCTAAATGTGGCGAAGTGGCATTTTTGATTAGGAATGAAAAATGAGCGATAGATACTGACTTTGGGCATTCTGACGAATGCATGTGTAGAGTGACTCTTTTTTTTTTGCATTTGTTGGTAACATGGTAAGAAGAAAAGTCGAGTATGCGAGTGTTTTTTTTTATTGTTGTGTGCGCTTTACTTCCTTGGTTGCTGCTTGTCGCATTCGATATAGCTATAGCGCCTCATCACGTCATCCAGACGTCTCAAAGCGCTTCACGGAATATACCGTGAAGTGAATTGACTGTGCATTTTGTGGGCGAAACGCGGCAGTGAATGGCGCACAGCAGCGTCCCCGCAAACAGCCGTGGATCGAAGCGAACAATTTATTATTATTTTTGTTCGAAGGGAATATTACCCCCGGAAAAGCGATCCGCCAATCGACTTGACAACCAGATTCCTACTTACTGCTGGGTAAACAGCGGCGTGCGGAGTAAGGAAACTTGCTCAACTTTTTGCCCGGTCCGGGAATCGAACCCAGGTCTCTCGTTTGCGAGGTGACTGCTCTCACCAATCAGCTACAGGACTCCAGATGCTTGTTAAGTAAATGTACGTGTAAACATACACGTCAAGTACATTCACCTGTATTGCGTGAGTGTTTACAAGGCAATTTTTGCCCAAATCTATTTGTCAGTAAAAGCCTTCTCTCACGGTTGTCGCTGAAGCCACAACTGTGCCTCGTCAGCGATTTCCACTGGACAACACAGTCTTGGACAAATAGGTACAAATTGGGAAAGAAGGCGGCAGAGAGGGGTGTGGATTGAGGAGAAAGAAGGAAAGAGAGAATGAATGAGACGAAAGGAGGTGTCTTCACCCACTTTGCCTGTCTTCTCAACGCTCTTCCAATGCCACTTCCTTTTGTTACGGTGCCTTCAAAAATCCTAAAGAAATGTCAAGATCTTTAGGTCAAGATCTGTATTCTCCCATTTCCGTGCTTGATGGCCACCGCTGTACTCGACAGTCACTTTGCATCTTCTTTTACGTAAAGGACAACAGGCAAACGAAAAACAACTTGCATTTATGTCGCACCCTTCATGTAGGATAATGTCTTGGAGCGCTTCAAAGTGACAGAGTTGGGCTCCAAGCAGGTGGGTCAGTGGGCAGGTGACTGTAGGTAGGTTTTAAGGTGGGATTTACCAATAATAATTGTTGCATTTGATACAGCGCCTTATCGCATCTTCGAGACGTTTCAAAGCGCTTCACAGAATATACCGTAAAGTGACTGTGTATTTCGAGGGCGGCACGCGACAGCCAATTTAAAGGCAGATGGTGACAGGGCGAGGTAAAGGGATACAGGCAGGGTATTAATGCAAGCGCTTAGAGTTCTAAGCAGTGTTGGTAAGACATATCGTTCGTTTAATTTCCTTCCTTCCCTCATGTGAGATCTCAGAAGACAGAAAGGAAGAAATAGCACACGCGATGTTTGCTTGTGGTGGCTGAGAAATAACTACACAACTACAACAACTGACCTCAATGTTGATTTCAACAATTTCAGACCGTAACAGCTCACCTTTCCCCCCCCCGCCCCCACCTCTTCCGTGACCATTACCACATCACCTGGGTCCCAGACACACCTCTCCTCTCTCCGGTCGGCCTATTTTGTTGCAATTTCCCCCCCACCACCGCCCCCTTTCTTTTGCATCATTAACGCCTCTTTAACCCATCATCCCCTGTCCTGTACCCCATTTTCTCCTTTGTCTTCCTTGCCCTGCGTCTCCCCCTCTCTGTTCGCCCTTCAAAGCCTCTCCCTCCCAACGTGCCCCAGTTCTAGCAAAGGGTGTGGACCCAAAACGTTGACTCACTTTCCTTTCTCCATAGATGCCTGGCGGAGGGGGAAGGTGACCGAAGACACGGTGGAAGAGGAAGGCCTTTCAGCGCGAACTGAAAATGGGGAGGGAAGGGGGGTGTGGGTGGGGGGGGGGGAAGCGAGGCGGAGGGATGGAGGGAGAGAGTTCCACCGCTTCCGGGCATTGTGGCTGAAATCACGATTTAAATACAAGAGCGAGGATCTCGAAATCGATCGGTTCTGTGAGACAGGGAGCCAATGGAGTTCGTCAAGGACCGGGGCAATGGAGGTACGGAGTTTAGTGCGGGTGAGAATGTGGGCGGCGGAGTTTTGAACAAATTACACTTTGCGAACAGTGGAGCAGAGGAGACCAGCGAGGAGGTGGGTTGAGTAGTCGAGGCGGGAGGTGACGAAGGCGTGGACGAGGGTTGTTTGGCAGCTTTTGGGAGTGAGGTAGGGATGTAGGCGGGCAACTTGGCGGAGGTGGAAAAAAAAGCGGTCCTGATCCGGGAACGGATGTGTGGTGGAAAGGGAAAGCTGGGGATCGAACCCGACACCTAAGTCGGGGCCCGGAGGTCGTGCAAGGCTGATCTGCGGTGTTGGAGGGATGAGCAATGAGGAACGAGTGATTCAGCTGTCACGCTTCAACCCAATAAAGAGAAACCTCAGAGAGGTCTGCACGAGGTCGGAGAA